TTGATTCTGGGAAGTATTTCCCGTGCAGTTTGATTTCTGTTCATGAATTCTCTACCTACCTCTATGTCTTCAAGGTTTTTACCCAATTTGTCTTCCAACAGATTTAGTGTTTCTGTTTTAATATTCAGATCTTTAATCTGTTTAGATTTTAATTTAGTACACGGTGATAGGCATGGGTCTAGTTTTAGTTTTTGGCATATGGAGAGTCAGTTTTTCCAGCACCATTTATTAAAGAGACTGTCGTTCTTTCAGTGAACATGTTTGGCCCCTTTATCAAAAATAAGGTGGTTGAGTGTGTTTTTAGTTGTGGTTGTATCTTCTAATTTATTCCATTGATCTTCAGATCTGTTTTTATTCCAGTACCATGTTGATTTTACTACGGTTGCTTTGTAGTATAACTTCAAGTCAGGGATTGTGATACCTCCTGCCTTGCCTTTGCTGCTTAGAATTGTCTTTGCTATTCTAGGTCTTTTCTGGTTCCAGATGAATTTTAAGAATGATTTCTCTAGATCTATGTGGTACATTGATGGTATTTTTATTAGGATTGCATTGAATCTGTATAACACTTTTGGGAGAACAGCCATTTTCACAATATTTATTCTTCCTATGCATGAGCAAGGGATGTCTTTCCATTTTGTGAGATCCTCTTCGATTTCTTTTTACAGAGTATTATAATTTTCCCTGTATAGATCTTTCACTCCTTTCATGAGATTAATTCCTAAGTATTTCATTTTTTTGGATGCTAGTGTGAAGTGTGAAGGGTGTGGTTTCTCTTATTTCTGTCTCGATGATTTTGTTATTAGTGTATAGGAATGCTATTGATTTCTGAGTATTGATTTTGTATCCAGCTACATTGCTGAATTTATTTACTATATCTAGGAGACTTTCAGTGTAATTTTGGGGGTCTTCTATGTAGAGTATCATGTCATCCTCAAATAATGATAATTTAACTTCCTCTTTTCTTGGCCCAAGCAGGCCTGAAACCTGCAGGGGCAGTCAGTGTGGCAGGAAGCTGGGAGGTTTCTTTACCACTGGGAGCGATGATCTTAGACACTCACCTCCGGCTGCCCAGTTCTTTGGTCATAGTTTTGAAGGTCCTGGTTTATCATCCACTAGCCCTGTTGCTTTGGGGCTGTAGTGAGGAGTGTGTGGCAAGGAAAGAGGAACAAAAGGGAGAGGAGAGGGAGAGGCTGGCGTCCTGCCATCCTCTCTGACGTCATGCTGCCAGTGGTCTAAGGACTGAACCAGGCCTCTTAAGGATCCAGCGCTTCCAAATAGTGTCACCCTGGGATACTACGTCTTTCGTGTGGGCTTTTGGAGGATACTCTAGGTTCAAACTGTAGCATTCACTGTAAGAAGTAAGAATTATGTCATATTGATAGCGAAAGGCTGTTGCATTATTGATTCAGGAAAAAAGATCTTCATGAAAACTGATTTTTGTATAGGTTTATGCATCTGCAAATGAGTATTTTGTGAGCACATAGGTCCTGTTTTGGGCCAGTTGCTCTCCACTATCTCTTCATGATACTTCATTTAGACCACTTTAGGATTGCCTAGTAGTCATGATCCCTGCTTACGTTTTCTTCCCATGCTGAACTGCTTATGTCGCATCATATTTATGTCATTTTCCTGTGAGGAACCTTCATTTCTGCTTATGCCACCCAACCAGATTCACCCAGTCTTTTCTCTTCCTGTCTGTGAGTCCACTTTTGTCCTGTTTTCTACACAAGATATGCTCCTTCCTATTCTGATTCATTTGTTTCCACAAACTAGAGAACTTTAATGACTTTCTTCCTGTTCTTCTGATTTCATACACACATTTCAAATCCTCTCTCCCATCTTCATAAACTAATGATCCAGTTCTTTTTCTCATAGTAGTTAAATAAAGCACTTAAATCTTCAAAACTGCTTCTTCTGTATTAGTTTTTTATCCTTAGCTGTGTTATAATCCCAATAATAGAAAGGACAATGTCACATATTCCTATATTTTCTTCTTAAGAGCAGACATACAGCATTAATAAATAGAATATATTTAGTTAATAGCTTCAGCACAGTTTAGAGGAAGAAGGTGGCTTAGATTGGTGAGCAGCTGTGCTCCATGAGATCCATCATCCAGGGACTTGGACTCCTGGTCATTTGCTCTGCTGTCCTCCAGGCTTCCTCAGTTCTGCTTGTTCCACATTATAGAGTAAGGGAACAAAACAGAAAGACAGAGAGACAGTACTTTTCTTGAAGCAAGTGGAACACATTGCAGCTCTTCAGATCCAACTAAGCACACTGTCACTTCATCATGCCCATTTGCACAGGGGTCTGATGATCTGTAGCTGAATGGAAATGTGCCAGACAAAATTTTATTTTCTAAAGTAGGAAGAATGATTCTGTAGACCATAATGCACTCAAATTATTTAAAGTCAACAAATACTATACAAAAGCACTTGACTCCTTCTTCTTTCTTTTCTTTTGTTTTCTTTTCTTTTTGAGGCTGTCAATTCTTGAACTTTTATTTTTTCCCCAATCAGATTTTATTGGTATATTTTAGGTGCATAAAATGATCATGTTCATCGTAGAGCATTAGTACCTGTACATGATATAATTTGTTTCTTTTTTCCCATTCCTCTTCCTTCCTTCAACCCTTCCTCCCCCCCCATTATAAAAGCTTTGTTTCCATTTTTTCCTGATTTTCTCATTTTTTTACTTTTGCCTTCTTTCCTCCCCTACCATTTGAACTTTGTTTTTCTATTTTCAATGTGGTTTTATGTATCAGAAAAAAATCTGAATGTTTTTGCTCAGAGGTTGATTTCATTTGAGGAAGAAATTGTTTCCAAAGAAAGAAAAAGAAAATTATTCATCCAACTAAGCATGTAAACATGATAAAATCACCAACATTTACATACTGAAATGCTGAAATAGATAATTATAAAATTTCAGTAAAAAAGTTTTATTTACGTTAGTAATTATTCAAGGTGTTAAAAAGCAGGAACAATAGTAGCTTAATAAAACAAAGAGATTTTCCCTATTAATTACACCAATTTACAAAACTAGCACACATATTAAAGATCTTGAATACTTTAGGTTTTACAAAAAAAAATTCCCAAAACCCAAACCCAAACCCCAAACCTAACTATCATGGATTAAAATATAAAGTAGGAAACTTTTAATAAGAAAGGGTTCTTTTGCAAGACACGGTTCTTTTATTTATTAAATGTAATTAATTCTGAACTATTATTGTCACTGCTTGAGAAGAAGTAAAACCTTGCCAAACTGTGGGTAGACCTATATTTTCCCCAACCTACACTCTTTATTTTTGTCCCTTAGGAACTGCTAGTTACTCTACATTTATGAAACTACCGAATTTTATCTCCATCAAATTTCATCATTTTCTGTTGGAATGACAGGGAATGTTATTATAGACTGAATGGTTCTGTCCTGTGCCTAAATTCACACTTTCAGTGTGATGGGGTTTGGAAGCCGGCTATCTGGAAGGTACTGTAATTAGGTTTGAAAGAAGGCTTATTGGCAGAAGTCTCCCTGATGGGGTTAGATCCCTCAGAAGAGAAAACAGAGCGCACATCAAGAAAGAGATCAAGAAAGAGCCCATCTTCAAGTCAGGAAGAGAACCAAAAGTTCCTGGTGCTTTGATCTTGGACCTTCCAGCCTATGAAGAATAAATTATGGGTTTTTTCCTCACCTAGTCTATAGTATTGTGTTGTGGCTATGTCAGGGTTTGTATCTTGAGAAACCCTTGGTACTCATGGAGCAGAACATTTCAGAGGTAGGGCCTACTTGGAAGTCTTCAAGCCCCTGGAGATATATCTTTGAAACGCTTCATATGACACAGCCCCTTTCTCTTATGATGTTCTTGCATTTTCTGGTTGTGAGCTGAGTGGTTTTGCCTCACTATGGCTCTTGACATGATATGGCACCACAGGCCCAAGGCAATAGGACCTGAACCAAGGCACTGAACCTGTCGAGCTGTGAGCTAAAGTAAACCTTTTCTCTTTGAAAATTGATTAGGGGGCTGGGGATTTAGCTCAGCGGCACAACCCCTGCCTTGCAAGTGTGTAGTCATGAGTTCGATCCCTGGTACTGATAAAAAAAGAAAAAGACAAAAAAAAAAAAAAAATAGTTTAGAAAATTGATTATCTCAGGCATTTGGTTCAGTGCCAGAAAGCTTGAATATCACAGGCTACCTGAGCTGACTAAAGTAATTTAAAATCATATCCAATGACACAGAAAAAACAACTTCAAAGAAGAAAGGAACAACAAGTTAGTAGTCCAAACTGCAGCAATTGTGAGGGTTAAAAGGCAATCTGGCTATAAGCAGGAACATAAGTGTTATAGAAAGAAACAGAGCATTAGAATTGTATGTTCAATGTTCAGAGAGTGATTTTTTTTTTCCTACCAAATGGGAACCTGCTAAAATTTAACCTCATGCATCAATATGGTAGAGAACATTACTCAGAAAAGGGAGCAAACATGTAGGAAGGAAAGCACTCATAAAACAAGACAAAGCCTTGGGGTGAGCCAAGAGAAATCATTAGACACTTCAAAGTCATTTTCTAGTTCTGTAACCTAGGGATGTTACTAACCTCTGTAACCCGCAGCTTTAATCTCAGTGAAATAGAGATAAGATTCCTTATCACAGAGTGCAAGATTAACTGACCTTTGTGTTTAGAGTGGGAAACCTGTATTTTTTTTTTGGTCAAAATCTTTCTTCATAATCCTGAATCTCACCGAGAAACACATGGGGATGGGGGTCATTCTGTGAGAGTTGTTACTGCTGAAATCTTGTGAGCCAACCTGTTTCCTGTCCTTTCAAATACAGTTTTTCCTTTGATTCTGCTAGTAACACAAACTTCTTGAAAAAGCCCATCATGACATTGTTGATTAGAAACCTATCATATAGAATATAAGCTGATTGACAGGTACCAAATTCTTAAAAATCACATGTCTAATTAATCAGAATGTTTTATTTCAGAGTAGGAAAATTCAAACAATTTTAATCACCGAATATTGTTTCAACAGGATTTTTTCCCTCATCTATTGTAAGATGCTACAGTCTTTTCAGAAAATAAGATGGATATAGAAGAAAGAAAGAAATTTTTTTTAATTTAAGGATAAAAAGGAAAAAAAAAACAAAAAAGGGTACAAGTAATACAAAATTTAAAAAATAAGCAGTAAGAAATCACTAGTTAATAGATTACATATTCTCATCTTAGAAATAGTTGTTCAAGTTACAAAATTGAAGCATATAAAGTGGACTTTCAAACAGTGAGAGTGCAAACAGTTTTGTTCAATGATCCAAAACACACTCAGTAATATGGTTATCTATCTTATACACTTAAACATGTATGCAGTTATAACCTTTAGAGCACTTTCTTTTCTTTTGTACAATGACAATTACACATTTTGAGTTTTATTACTCCCACAGTTCTTATTACTTTTTTTGAAGAGAGTAAAACCAAATGCGACATATCAGAACAGAGTCAGTCAAATCAAAAGGATGGACATAATAGATAATGTAAAAACAAAATATAAGGTGATCAACAATGATTACCATATTGCCTCTTGCTATTTTAAGAAGAATTGGCAGTTATAATAAAATTGAACTAAACAGTAAAGAATAAAACCAAAGCATTGGAGACATTACGGGATTTTAAAAGAAAATAATAGTCAACCAGAATGGGCGTCATAATGATTCTTATTGTTTTCACAGTTATGCCTATACTTTCCAACTTGGTACTATCAAGCAAAGCAGAATAGAGAAAATCAGTCAAAACAAGATGGTCAGGGCAATACAGGATTTCAAATGAAGTTAATAGGAAATCGAAGTAGGTTACTATAATGTATCCTGCTATTTTTTATTTATTTTTCCCTTAACTAAAAAAGTAAATAATTTTAAAAAGGGGGATTGAGATAAAAGAGAGCATAACAACAGAACAGCGCAGGTCAAATCATAACCATTTAAGCAAAATAGTGTTTCACCACAAGATATCCTGACATAAAAATAGTTACCATAGTGTCTCTTTCCTTGAAATCTTTGAGTATAACTTCTTATACTGTAGCACCAAACATATCAAGACACTATAAAACCATTTAAGAGAATGACATTATTACAGGGTATTCAGAACCAATTAACAGAAGATGAACAATGGTTTCTACATAAACTCCTTGTCTATAAAAGTTTTTGCTTATATTATCATATATAATAAAATCCAATAACCTCTTAAGACCAATGGAGACAAAAGTATACACGTTTGATGAGACTTCAAAACAAGAGGATACTAAATCAGCACTAGCTATTATGATGTTTTGTTTTCTCCAAAATTGCTGTTCCTACCTTCTGATCTTCTCTGCCTCATTTCTGTTGAGCTGTTTTTCTGTCATTTGTTGTCAGTTTGTCTTCTTCATTTTGTTTTCTGCTCCATTCATTGTGGCCTCTCTGCCACTCTTTCTAGAATCTTGGTGTTTTCCTTTTTTAGACTATCCTGCAGTATTCTCTGTAGAGTTGAATTAGTGGTTGCAAATTCCCCTAGTTCCTCTTTATCCTGGAAGCACCTTGTTTTTCCATCAATTTCTAGCGACAGTTGTGCAGGATATATCAATCTTGGCTGGAGGTTATTATCTTTCAAAGCTTGAATTATTTCCCCCCCCCCATGCTTTTCATGATTTGATGGCTTGTGCCGAGAAGTCTGCTGTAATTCTGATGGGTGTTCCATTGTAAGTGATCTGTTTCTTGTCTCTGACGGCTTTTAATATTCTGTTATTATATTGGATTTCTGGAATTTTGATTATTATATGCCTGGGTATAGCTCTATTTGGGTTGGAGGTGGCTGGAGTCCTGACGCCTCATATATCTGAGTATCTTTACCATTTACCAAATTAGGGAAATTCTCTTGGATTATTTCTGTGAAAAGCTTTTGTAGTCCATTTGTTTGTGTCCCTACTTCTTCTCTTATGTTCTTAATTCTTAAGTTATAGATCCTCTTATCATCTTCTAGTTTTTGTATTGTTGCTGTTTGGTTTTTTTTTTTTTGTTGTTGTTGTTATTTTTAAGAAGTTTTTCATTTCATGCTCCCATATTACAAATCTGCCCTCCAGTTCAGATAATCTGTCCTTAGTTTCTTTCAAGCTGTTATGCCAGTTTTCGATAGAGTTTTTAATTTCCTGGTAATCTCTTTGAACCTGCTTTATGTATTCTATGTTTTCTCTATCTTCTCCATCAAACAATTCTCCCCTTTTTTTCTGTTCTTCCGTTCCACCATCTGTTTTTTCTTGGGCAATGCTTAGCATTTCTCTAACTATTCTGCTTATGTCTTGCTTCAGGTCATTAATAACTTCATTCCTGAACTCGTCTATGAGGCTCTGGAGATAGCGTTTTATGTCTATTGGTGCCATGTCTGCTATTGCATGTTTCTCAGGATTGGGGCCTGAGGACCGTTTCTTGTTGCTCCCTCTTCCCATATTCTTTGTTTCTTATAGTTAAACATGTATAGGAGGCCCAGCTTCCTTCCCTGTTGGTCACAGTCTGTTTGAATTGCGCTGGCTAGGTGTTCCCACCCACCGCAGTGGCAGCAGGGAGACACAGACCTGGGCAGTCTATGCCAGGCCTGCCCCTCCAGGTCAACCTATGAAGGCTTCACCACTAGGGTGCACCTCCAGGCGCTGGGACCTGAGTTGGGCTAGCCTATTGGGTCTCAGCCAGCGGCGTCTCGTAGGCCAGGCACTCCCCACCAATCCCACTTGAGAGGGGGATATGTGACTGAAGTCACTGCAGCATCTTGTTCTGGGAAGTCTGCCCGGTCTGAGTATGTCCTCTGTTGAAGCCTCCTTCTCTATGGAAGGGTCCTGATCTGCTCACTCACTGCTGGTTGATGCAGGGCACCCAGCCAGTCCCACTCCCAACTCCTTTCAATGCTTCCCACTCTCCAAGCTTTTGCACCTCTCTCCCTGCTGTGCCGACTGGGACGCAACAGCGGCTGCAGGTAATTCAAATCGAAGTTTCCAGTGGCACGGGTCTGGCTTCCGTGCTGAGTCCTTATCTGTACCTGCTGTATCACCGGGATTGCATTTCCAGATGGTTTCTCTTAATTTAGTTCATTCCTGGGTCAGCAAAGAATATCCCCTCTTGCCTGGGACTTCCTGCCCAGCACCATTCCTAGATTTCAAGTGCAGTTTCTCAGAGAGCCTCAGAGGCTGCTGCTATCCATCTGCCATGTTCTTCTGGACCCGACCCAAGAAGGATTATTTCTTATAGTTTGGAGATTTCAGTTCATACTCATTTGGCTACAAGGCAAAATTGCATGGAGGACTGGCAGTGGTTCACGGCTGCTCCATTGCGATGCTTAAGGGTGTCTGAGGATCCTTTGCAGCTCTCAGTAAGAAATCACAGAAACTAGAGGTGTACTCAACTCCAGGATCTCAGCACCAGCTGGGTGTTTTCTGGGCTGAAGCAGCTTCTTCACATGGCTTGCCCTGGGCGCTCTTTGTTCTTGGGATGGTCATGCTCCAGCCTTGCACATGTGGTCAATTTCCAGTTTCAGTGGCTCCCAACACAGTAGGAAGAGGGGAGGGGATGTCAGAAGGTCCTGTTGGCTTTACTTTCTTTCTTTTTAGCTCACAGTTTGTGGAGGTTTCAGTCTACAATCAGCTGGCTCCAAAGCAGGGTGACATAACTAAAAGGCAAAAGTTCAAGGTGACAGAAGATAGCAAAAGCAGAAAGAGCAGAAGGCGAGCAGGATCAAGAAAGAAAATTAGATTGGGACTAGTTGATATAAATTCCAGATTTGGATATTCTATTAGCTCATTTTATTACTTTGGAAATTACCCAGACTCTCTTTTTAAAAATTTTGAACTGAATGATCTCTAAAGTCCATTTTAATTTTAAGTTAGGCCACTTGCATATTTAACATTATTTAATTTATTCTCATGTGTAACACTGAAAATCTACCCTTCACCATCTTATTCCTTTATTGCTCATCTTTCAAAACTGTCTTCCATTGGCTTGCTGGATAGTTTAAAAATAAAAAGCATGCTCTTACCTAAGGGATTTGTAATTATTTTCTATAGAATGCTTAGAGACTATTGTCTAGGTTTGCTCAAATCATCTAAAAGCCTTTCCTTGTACGTCTATGAAATAAAATGGTAGCTAGCTTGTTACTATTCACTGTGATACATGCTCCCTCCATTACACACATACACACAAATGCACACACAAGCATGCATGCACAGAAGATAATCATGCCAAGAATTTGATTTTAAGTACATGACCATACAAATCGTATGAATTCTCTATGCCATCTGGTAGTCTCATTCTTCTGTTTTCTCTCCTATCTCTTCTAAACTTCTTACTAGGGATAATGAAATCAAGATTTTATTCAAACTAATTGGAAACTAACAGTTAATAATTTCATCAGTTTCTCCACCAGAAAATCTCTCTTCCTACTGGGAATTGAACTGAATTTCTCCATGTTCTCTCCTGTTAAGCTGAGAGCAGCATTCAGCTTCTTCTTAAAGGCTTATACCAGCTCTTGAGTTCTGAGTCTCTTCTTTTGCCATCTCAAGAACTTTGATTTTTCAATTGTTTCATCCCCCTCTATCACAAATCTCTTATTCTAACCAGCATGTACTCATTCTCTGATGATTGTACATAGTAACTGCAAAAATAAAGACTCTTACCTTTTACTCACAAATACCATGCTCCTTTCTGCTATGTATTTTGGCTATCACTGCAAAATTCTCTGGGAAGTTGTTCCTTCATGCTGTTTCCCTTTCCTTACCATCCAAGCATTCTCCAAATTTGTGTGGCTTCTGTCCCCACTTACTCTTCCCCTTCATGTGGAAATCTCCAGGTTGATAAATTCAGTGGTCCTCTCCCTATTCTGATTGGAGTGACCTATTTTTTTGCATTGAGCATGACTGAGTTCTTCCTTCTTTTCTTGTCTTTTTGCTGCTAAGATATTCTTTCTTTTCATCTTTTCTCTTGCCCATGACTGGATCTTCTCTGTCTCCTTTGATAGCTCCTTCTTATCTACTCGATCTTTAAACATTCAAGATTTGAATCTCAAGAATTTCTTTTCTAAGTATATAATACACTTGAGTGATCTTACCAAATCTTTTGACTTTAAAACAATCCAAATATAGACATTTATATATTTCAGCTTTTCATTACTGTAACAAAATACCTGCTTAAAGGAGGAAAGATTTATTTTGCCTCACAGTTTCAGAGATGTCAGCATATGGTCTCTTTGCACCATTGTTTTGAACTTGTAGCAAGACAGAACTTTATGGTGGAAAGTGTATGATGGAGTAAAGCTGCTGACCTCAATGGAGACGGAGAAGGTAGAAAAGGCTGAGGTACCAATGTCCTCCTCAGGTGCACACACCCACTCAGCCCACTTCCTGCCCATTAAGCCTAATTTCTTATATGTTCCGTTACCTCCTCACAGCACCACTGCCTGCTGACCATGACTTCATGTCTAGTCCCAGCCCCACTTTGGGGGAGTACATCCAAACCATAACACCATCCTTATGGGGTTAGAATATAATCATAATTACATGCAAGATGAATGGAATAGAAATGCTGAATTGCAGATTATCCAAATATGTTGCTACTTAAGTCTATGAAGAAGAAGCACTCCCAGAATAATAAAGGGTAGAAATGTATTGCATCTTCAAGGAAGAGAGAGAGAGAGAGAGAGAGAGAGAGAGAGAGAGAGAGAGAGAGAGACTGTTTTATAAACAAAAAAAGTCAACAGAGACTGTGTCTTAAGTGACAAAAGTCAACAGACAACTTCAATGAAACAAGGAAACAAATTACTAAGACTTTCCCAAGATCAAGGAGAATAGGAAAAGTTAAGCCCACTATGCTAGACCAAACAGCTCACTGACAAAAGAAAAATAATAGATATCATCAAGGCAAGTGCTAAGAAATCTTAAGGCAAACAATAACAGCAATTATCATAATACTTAGTAAATAAAATATTCAATAAATTCTGTTGAATACCAATCAGACTTTGTTTAGTGTTTACCTGTATCTTCTTTAATCCTGTGATATTTTTAACTTTGCCCTCAACTCTTACCATATAGAGAATTTGAGTTCAATCTAGTAAATGATACCTGGGGTCAAATTGACAAGGATGAGCATCTTGGACACTAAATTTTATCTTAAAATCAGAATAATGAGCACAAGATAGGCCTTTGGAAATAGTCAAGATCTAATGAATAAAGGCCAATAACTAATTCAAATTCGAAAGGACAAAGGCAGGATTATATTAATACTGCTGAGCCAAGAGGCAGACAGGACCTAGATCAGTACCGTGGAATTCAGAACACTTGTGAAGATCAGTGACTGACTTAATCATTCTACACTATAAATACAGATCAAAACATTACATTGCACAACATAACTGCATAGTATATACAATTATTGTCAATTTAAAATAAAGAAAAAATAAATCTTCGTGGAAATCCTAGTGGAACTTTACTCTTTATCATTAATTCATGGTGTGTGAGTGTATTCATCTAGTTTTAAAAACTAACAAAGCACAGAGTAAAATTTGCTTGTGAGCCTTTATCTAAGAAACAGGGATGGTTATTAGGTTTCTGGTTTTGAGATTTCATTCAGCTCTGTTATTTATTTGTTGATCTTTTGTCCAGTTAGTCTGTCTATTTTTGTGATAGTGGGGTATTGATGTCCCCCATTATAATTGTATTAGTGCTTATCTGATACTTCATTTCCATTAGTGTTTGTTTTATGTAATTGGTGTTTGGTACACATATTTTATGATTGTTATTGCTTCTTCCTGGATTGTTCTCTTAACAAGTATGTACTGACCATCTTTGTCTGCTTGGTGAGTCTCAGTTTGAAATCCACTTTGCAAACAGAATGACTATCCCTGCTTATCTTGTGGAGTATTGTGTTCCTTCTTTTGAGCTTCAGTCTATGAATTTCTTTTTGAGTTAAATGTCTTTCTTGTATGCAGAATACTGATGGATCTTGTTTCTTATTTCTAGTGTTCTAATTTGTTTATTTTAATTGGTGAATTGAGACCACTCACATTGATGGTTATTACTGCAGGTATTGACTTATTCTTGTCATTATATTGTTTTCCTGTTTTTGATTTTCTTTCTTTCCCTTCTATTTAATTATTTGCTTTGCCTGCAAATTTATTCTCTTGGGATTCTTAGAATTGTTACCTTATTTTCTTTTTGTAGAAGAGTCTTCAGGAATTTTTGGAGTGATAGTTTAGTGGTTATGAATTTCTCTAGGTGTTCTTTATTTTGAAAGATAACTTGGTGAAGTACATCAATCTGGGTTGGAGGTTGTTTTCTTTTAGATTGAAATACTTTGGTCTAAGCTCTTTGACTTAAAGGCTTGTGTTAAAAGTCTGCTGTAGTTCTGATGGTTTTCCTTTCTAGGTGCTTTGTTTCTATTCTCTAACAGCTTTTAATATTCTGTTCTTGTGTTAAATTTTTAAAATATTGACTATTATATGCCTTGGTGTAGTGGCTTTTTTTTTTTTTTTCTGATCATGGTTATCTGAAGTTCTGTATGTCTCATTTATATTTTAGCTCTGATAGTTTGTCTTCTCATTTGTTAACACTGATGTATATACTTTCAATAGAAATTTTAATTTCCTGAATTTCTATTTGAGTCTGTTTTATGGTACCCAGTTCTTTTCCATGTTGAGCATGCATATTTTTCATGCATCCCCCCCTTTTTAAATCAGTTTCTACTCTAGATTCACTAAATATTTTCTTCATTATAGTAGTAATCTCTTTAATTATCTGTGTAATTACTTGTTTTGGTTTTATCAAGAGACATTTATGTGTTTTGTTACTTCAATTTCTGCCATTCAACTTGCCCTGGGTTTGCCTCGTGCAAGTAGGGGATATTGAATTGTGTCTTACACCCTTGTTTTCTCGTTTTTTTGTATTTTTTGTTTGCTTATTTGTTTTCTGCACTGAAACTTGTAAATCACTTATTTTAGCTAGCTTTATTATTAGTATTGAGCCCTCTTAAGATAATAAATATTTTTCAGAGATGTATTCTGGGTATCACCAATTTTGTGTTTGAGTCTTTCCTAAGATCCTGCCTCGTCTGTTTATTAAGAATGCCACGTTGTAGCCTGTCTAGCCTAGCTCCTAGTTCTTTGGTATTGGACTGCCATATTGTTTATAACCCTGGGAAAATCTAGATATTGGTATAGAAGGAAAACCAATTGATCAAAACAACTATGTCACCATGGCTAAAGTCATACAGTCAAGTAATAATAATAGAATGCATCACATATTGGACAATAAAAAACTGTGGAAACTAGTATTTGTCACCTTTAAGCCTAAGTACAAGATTTATACCAATTGAACAAAATCTGAAACAAATTGGAAAATTATACACAGTAAATATCTGCTCAATAATGGGATTTTACTTCAAGGAGAGAAAATTTTAAAGGCAGTAGAGGAAAAACAGAGAACCAAAGGAAGAAAAAGAGTTTAGTAACAAGGTCACAGGATAGAGGAAGATTACCCAGGCCTCTGGAAACTGGTGAAGATGACATGGAAGGAAGGGAAGGAGAAAACAAACAAACAACAAAAAAAGAACAAAGCAAAACAAATCAAAACAAAATACTAAAAACAATGTTCACATTCACCCAAAATCAAGCAATCTAAAATTAAAAAGAAGTAAACAAAAGTTTACAAAAGCTCAAAAATTGAAAAAAATTTCTCTGTGATTTCAAATCTGTGATTATCTTTTGGGGCCTATAGTTTTGTGGCTAAATCCAATTCAAGGAGTGAATCTGCTCTCATTGGTAGACAGGAGGCAGTTAGAGCCCATATCCATATTTAATCCCAGCAAGCTAGCTGTAGGGTTATGATGGGATGGAAATTCTGGGACTTTCAAATCTGCAGAAATTCAGGTTAAATCTGGCCTCTGATCATAGGAGTGAGGCCTGAGTCACTATTTTATAACTCTCTGGGTGTCTCTTACTGAACTGACCCCAGCTTCCTGACCATGGAGATTTTCTGTGGTCATCCTTCACTTAGACTCTGTGGCAGTTTAATGCTGGGAGCCCTGAGATGAAGCCAACCTGTGGCTGCGCTGAGTCCCAGGTTCAGTTGGCCCCTCCCTAAAATGGTGTCTGACCAGGTATTCTCTCCAGGGCTTATGAGGGACTCTCGCATTGGAGTCACTCACTAATCACTGCAGTGATGGCACGCACTGCTCTGTTCCACTGGTGCAGGCCTCCTTGAAAACACTGAGTTGCCTTCTTGCCCTGTGTCTGTGTAGATTTGATCTTCCTTTATCTTAACATGAGTCAGGAGCCAGGGAAAAGTACAGATTGCACCTTGATTTTCTGCACTGTACCCATTTCCTTAATTCTGTAGAGTCCAATTTTGCCTTCAGATTCTTCCTGGGTCCCAAGATCCACTTTCCTCCTTATTTTCTTTCTCAAGTTGTCTGGATTCTAAGTCTTGGAGAGGCTGATTTGAGGCTGCCTACTTCTCTGCCATCTTTCTAGAAGTCCCCTGTTTCTGGTCCTAAGGTTCAGGCTGAGACAAAGATCTAGACTAAAAAGGGCTTTCCAGATAGAGGAATGGTTTCATAATTTATTCAATCTTTTATATTCTCCTGCCTTTCAGAGTGAACTTTCCCTCAATCCTATGAAGGAAGCTAGGGCCTCCATCTTATATGCTGTTGGAAGGAAAGCATGCCCTTATCCCAGTCATGTGCCTTGTTTTCTTGGTTTTCTATCACTTAGAATTCCAGCTCCCTCTTTAGTTCTTAGTTCCTATTTCTATTCATGGCTCCTGTAGTGTCACCTTTGACCTGTGTCATGGCCCTCCTTTTGTTCCTGCATTCACCAAAGCATGCAAAATGAATCTGTTTTATTTAATAAATATCTGCATGGGGTGAGAATAGTAAGGCCATATCATCATAATTTGTCCCAATTTAGTGAAAAGTTTTTGGTATCTATCACCTAGATATTTTTTTCTGGGTATTGGCTATAACAGACCAATAAAAATAAAATTCTTGTTACATTTTATTTGGAGTACAGACAATAAACAATTTTAAAAGCTATACTATGGTTGCAATTCACTTCCTTGTTTGATAAATACTGCCAGTTTCCATTTAAAAATTTAGAAAAAATTGGGATGTGACTTCTTCAAATGATAGCTCATGTTTCCTATAGCCATATGTTTTTTCTGAAGCCAAAAAACAAAGAAAGGACAAAAAGGGAAAGAAAGAGGTCTTCGGATGAGCATCTCTACAACTGAGTGAACAACGCCGAGAACCTGCCTGTGCTCCAAAACTCTTGAAGCCTGACAGGATTTTGAAGAGAAAGGAATCTGTGGATGTGCTCTCTCTTGGGACAGAGTGTGCCAGGCTTTTAGTCTCCCCAAATGGGTGTGGCCTGACATTGGTAATCATTCTCCTGTCAGTACCAGCTGGAACCTTCTCTTGGGATGAAGGACTTCTCTCTCTATCTGTATGAAGTGTTTCTCTGACATATTTGTACTGGTACCTCTGACAATGATAGATAGTTTTTACTTAGTATGATGACAGCTCATTTCTCTAGTGCCCTCTCACTTCCCAGCTCATGCTTTAAGATAACGTCCTTCCTTTTAATTACCTTAGTAATTTACAGAAGTTAACTGTCTTTCCTTGTTGCCATTAGTATGAATGGCCTGTATTTTTATATACTTCATTAGAAAATGATGCATGAAAGAACTGCCTGTGACCAGAAAAAATTGTTCCCCAAACCTCTCTCTTCCACAGGTATTACCCTTCCTAAAGCCCTATAGCTCTCCTTACCAAGGCAATATTGTCATTTTTCCTTCAAGCATTTTTGGCCATCTATGTAACTTTTTCTTGTAGCTAGAGCTTCTACTTCTATTCTAGAATCCTCAATCCTTTGTCTGTCTGGACTCCCAAAAGAAAAATATTTTGAATCCTTAATTATAAAATGAATTTTATTTTATTTTTGTAGTTTTAACCATTATAATAGCAATTGAGCCCTAGGCATATGATCTCTACCTTCATATAATTGAATGAGCTAAACAAAAAAAGCCACCATGCAGGCAGCTCCTCTATAAAACAGATACAAGCTTGAGTCATCTGTTTTAATACCTATGTTTCCTTCCTGCTTCATACAAATGCATGGAACCCAAGGGAATATTGTGGTATGGGAAGGGATGGGTTTAAAATGGACGAATACAAAATTTCACAAGATTTAGAGATATCGGTCTTTTGAGGGGTGGAATATATATTTTTCAATCTATAAGAAGCTTCTAATTTGTAGCTTCTAAGTTGGAGAAGAAGCTTCTAAGAAATCTAAGTTTCTAAATTGGAGATGGCTAAGATTTCTGTTAGTGCTTTAGATACAGGGGTAGATGGAAATTTAAGAGAGGACAATTTATAGGGATTAAGAAATAACTAAATACAGATATAGAAAAGCGACCTACCTTTTTGTTTCCAGCATCCTAAGCAGCATACATTTATGGAGCCAATGCAAAGTGTATACAAATCAAATAATCCAGGTACATTTTGAGAAAGCAGTGTTGGTTGGCCCTGAAAGAGAAGTCAGGGGATTTGCTCATAAAGAGTTGAATACAAACAAATCCTATGATTGGCCTTGCAATAGAGCTGACTAGTATTTCATGAAGCATTAATGCAGCCCTTATAATAATGCAATAGTGCTGACCTCCAATATTTAACATGGGCAGGAAATGAAGCATTTTTGCACGGTAATGAAATGCACCTGTTGTCATTAGTGAACTGTTTTGTTGAATGAGTTTTTATTTAGCCATGTTATGACATAGTAAGTTTCTCCTTTTTTTTTCAAGAAGAAATCTTAATTTGGGGTGGCTGCTGTTTCTTTTTCTACTCTATACAAATGCTGTTAGAATAATAGTTGTATTTTTGCTGGGCATTATGTGCACACCTACAATCCCAGCACTCAGGAGGCTGAGGTAGGAAGATTGCCAACAGTTGGAGGCCAACCTGGGCTACATAGAAAGACTTTGCCTCAAAAAATAAATAAAGGCTTGTACATTTTAAAAATACCAAGTTATTAAATATGGGTAACCAATATGTATTAGGTATTACAATATAATTATGGGGTAAAGAATCAGAGGTGGGAACCCTAAGAAGCTTTGTCAGGGCTGATGCCATATCTTCCTTGGACAGTTCCTCTAAATTTCTCTGAGTGACAACAAACAAACAAAATCAAGAATGATTCAGAGACCTCAACAATGTTGAGGTCACAAATCCTCCAGACCTGTAAATAGGTGTCCCAGACTTAGAAACTGAGCTCAAGAAAGGAGTGTAGCACTCTAACTCTAAAATCTGTGAGAAGACTTTCAATTGTCACCTTACCAGGAAAGTCATTAAATTATCACAAGAAAGCCAAATCATCTATCGTACAGCTAATTTGCAAAGAGTTCTGCTAGATAACTTTCTATGTTTATTTTTCTATATTAATATCAAACCAGGCCCAATGCATCACCTACCCAACAGAGCAAAACATTGTATCAGAATCACGTGCTTCTCCCTTGAGAGACTGCCACTGCCAAGTCTCCCAATCATCCCTGCTTGGTACTGTGTCATCTCCTGGGCTACTTCCTGTGACAGTATGCTGTGGCAGGCAGCTCTGAGATTCTCAGTTGCTTTGCTGTTTGTATAAGGCCACAGTCTGGGGCTTCTGCCCTCAGCTTTTAAACTAAAAGGGTTGGTCTAGATGACTTGCAGGATTCTTTTAAATTCTTACCTTCTCCAAAATAGAACAAAAAGGAAAATTTTGTTTTTCAGTGAGTGTTTTTATTCATGACACACGTACACAGAATAAATAAAGAGGTAATTTGATGACTAATTTGATTATGGAAGAAAGCCAAGTAGTATAACAAGGTTCCCAAATCAATTTGGAGAGCCTAATTTTTCTAATGTTGAGCGCTATCTAAATAATTGCTAACTGCCCAACACTCTCCTTTCTGTATGCTTAGACAACACTGCTACAGTGCTTTAAAAATATTGCTACCATTACACTGTCCACCTGTAATATTCCAATGATTATCAGTGCACATGTTGGGCAAGAAGGAAGGAGAAAACTTGGAGTAGTCATGCACTGCATCGGAATGCCTAGCTCTAGAATCTGTAGTGCAATGATTTCTTCTAAGTAAAATTTAGGATTCTAGGACCAACTTTAAGCGAACCCATCCAAAATCTCATTGGTCAATGTACCTCAATTCTACAATTAGAATTACATCAGGATCTTTAAAAATACTGATGCTGGATTCTCCCCACTTTCACTAAACAATGTAACTTAATTTATATGGGATTAGACCAAGAATTTTAAAACCTCAGGGTATGCTATGTGGAACAAAGTTTAGAATTTGATCATTCAATTTATCATGCTAAATTAGTAGAGTAAGCTGATCTAATACCTTATTTTTTTGCCGTGGTTGGGCCTAAACTATGATCGAGTTCAGGGGCATTGGAATGAGATAATCCAGCCTGTTAAACTTGCACTGCCTCTTCTGGTCACTTTCTATGTGTCCTCACACTGACCACTTAAAGTTTCATAGTGAATGTAAACTTGCTGACCCATATATTGTTATGAAGAGTAGATATGCCTGGAGTTTTAGAATGGAGTCTAGTACACAGAAGTTAATATATTACAGCCATCATTATATGTTTTTAAAAATCAAAATATGTGTTTTATCCTATAAAGTAAAAAGGTATTTGAATAAGTGACTTGAGAAAGTTACTGTGGATCTTCCTTCACTTATTGTATTGAAAGTTCATAATTGTATATTTATTTTTTATTATAACATTAATTCATACAAAAGGAAAGAATGTACTTTACATACTACAGGTCTTCATCATTTTACTTTTATTTCTTTAGTTTTATAAAATGAAAATTATTTCAAGATAATCTTATTGAACAATACAGACAATTAGCATCGACTTTAATTCTCCTAACATCTTCTATAAATCATTTCAGTAGGAGATTATAAAAAGAAAATTTTATTAATTTCCTAGGTGTTACAGCAATCCAGACATTTTTCCCTGAATTTATAATGCCTTGGTTGGATCTTGATTACATATGGTTATATATACAGCTCAAGTCACATGGTAATAACACTCTGAGAATGTGCCCACTCCACTGGCAATTTTATTGCCAACTCTTCATAATAGTTCTGCCTCTAAATTCATAAACTATGGTGCAACAATACTACTCTAATATAAAATAGTAATATTATATTTTTATTTTCTTTTGATATTTTAAAAGCCAGTAAGCAAATATAAAAATGAAGTCACTCATATTTAGCCTACCTTGGACAAAAACACAGTTTGTGGGGTTGAGGACGAAGGAAGGCATAGGTGTGCTCATGAGGAAAAGGATTGGGAAGGAATTTTAGGCAACTTTTGAATCAAAGTCTATGCTGTGCCCCACAGCTCACTTACTGGGGTGTCTGGAGTTTGTCACTAGAGTGCTGAAATGCTGACACTCATCAGGTTCTTTTTTTTTTGTACCAGAGATTAAACTCACAACCTCACGCTTGCCTGGCAGGCACTTACTGAGCTAAAGCCCCAGCCCCTTAAGTTCTTTTTACTCCTAGTTAAAAAAATCTGTTGCCTCAGGCTCAGAGAAGCCTCCAAAACGTGTGCTACCATGCTATACAAATGCTATATTACCATTGTTCACGTGTGTTAAATGTGGAAAAGATGGGAAGCCCTGCTTACATTGCACTATTTTTCAGTGAATTTTATGACATTATTTATATGAATATTATGACATTAATTATAATGTTACTTGGGTAAAAACCTGGAAAATTATAATATTTGGAGACTAAAAATGAATTTTAGACCACTCAAAGAGCCACAAATTAATCTTCTTTTTGATTATGAAGTACAACAAAATTTAGAGATTGACATCCAAATTATATGAGGAATAAAAGATTCTAAATTATATTTCAATATTAAGAAACCACCAGGCATAGTGGCACATGCCTGTAATCGCAGCACTCAGGAGGTTGGGGCTGGAGGATCACCAAGAATTTGAGGCCAGGCTGGGCTACATAGTGAGTTCAGGGCTAATCTGCACTACATAGCAAGACTCTGTCTCTAAACAGTGAAACAACCTCAAGAGTTTTCTCAGCTGAGGAGGGCTATGATTATTGTAACAGTTGAATGATTCATTTAGATCAGGCAAAAAATCTCATTGCAAGATTTTGTAAGGAAAAATAATGTAATTCCACTTAAATATTTGAGAGGATTTGGTATATTCTGGATACAAATAATTTCCTATAACAAAAAAAAATTCACACTCTTTTCTTTTCTAATTTTATGTGTGCTACACTCACTTGAATGCTACTTCAATCTTAAAAATAAACTGGGAAGAAGAAATTTGTTTAGGGTAGGAACTGAAACAAGGAATGTAGAATTCCAAATCAGGGCAAGAAAAAACAAAAAAAAACAAAAAGAAGATGAAGATGAAAAATTTGATGGTTTGGGATAAATAGGAAAACAATGAGAAAATTACCCAGAAGACAGAATTTGGGTTTAAATACTAAAATTTTAAAACTGGAAAAAAATTTTAAAACTGGATGCAACCTTAGAAAGTATAAATGAGGAAACTAAGAGCCAAAAAATTGTAGATTATAGGTCAAGCAGAGAGTGAAATTATGTATTTTTCACAATGACACCTTTTACCAGACCAGTTCTTCCACCCTCAAAGCTGGTTAAATCCCTTCAAGACTAATCATGCTACTGAAATGGAATTCTAAAGGACAGTTGAAAACACCAGAGTTCCATTCTGGCAGCAGAGGGCTGACTGCCCCCAAACACTTCCTTCTTAGCACGTAACCACAGCCTCGCCCAGCCACCTTCATCTGTTTCCCTGCCCTGCCCTCATCTTTCAGAATTCATTCCCTTCTTGTATTTTTCGAGCTACAGTTTACCTTGGGATTTTGTTACCACATTTTATTATATAACATAATTCTGTGTGCCTATTAGTTGCTTATTAACTATTTGTTAAGTGTATAAACAAAAATACCACAAAGACTTGAAATCCACCCCAAACTCTGAAACAAAATAGCCAATTTTATCTATGACTTTCTTGGGGCTAGGAGAAAATTGCAGATACAAACATCTGCAGCCTGACTCCCTGGCATACCATAGAGAACTGGCCTCCAACTCACCAAACGTTCCTCTGGGTACACAAGGTCATGGTGGGTTTCCAGAGCCACTCCGGGAACAGCATCGCAGCCCTGGCTATTTGTTGATGACAACAGCTGGTAGGCCCTTTATCTTGTTTTAATTTTCTTCCCTTTTCCTTTGTTCTTTTTTCTTCTTTGTAGGTATTTTTCTTTTTTCTTCCCATAAAATTGTGTAAAAGCTATGGACTCACCACACACATCTATGTTCTTCCTGAAACCAAATTAAAATGATTGTAAAGAAAGAAAATATGCAAAGGTCAAATCAGAGAAGGAACATAAGCAGCTGAAACTTTTCAGTGAATGTTTAGCAGTGAAAAGGCATGGAGCAGTGATATCAGAGACACCTGTTTAGGAGCAGAGTGCTCATTTGTCCCAGAGACCTGCACCAAGGCCAGGGAGTGTGAATGGGGACGTTAGGGTGCTGTAGATGGGGAGTTAGCCTGAAGGTCTGGGTGGCTCCTGTCTTTGGCCTCCCTCATTCCCCAGTGCTATATGGGGCTTTATGGGTTTCTCAGCAGTTTTAGCTGTTTGTTTCCTGGCACAAGACCAAGCGCTTTTGCCCTGGAGAATCTGAATGGAGCCCTATTCTGCTAATACTCTCAGTGCTAATACTCAGTGGCCCACATCACAAGGATCAGGCTTATAATGTCATACTCCACATACATCCCAAGGAGAGATTCTCTGCCCCCAACAATTCAGGGAATAAAAACATCAGGGAATGAGTCTCACTGAATTGACTTGGGCTACTAGTTATTTCTGAACCCATCACTGTGATGAAAGACCAGGGAGACACTGGTTAACTAATCCTAGGCTATGTAGAGTAAAGGAGGCATGGCTCTATAATAAAAATAATGGAACGTTACAAGAAAAGGAAGAGCTTGGTCTAGGAAGGCAGTGTGACCTTAGCCTTCATAAACACTCCCAGCGTAGGGTGTCTGTTAGATGGAGCTTTTGTATTTGTTCTGCTCTGAATATGGAAGGCTAGATCTGAGCCAGAATCAATCCCCAGGCTAACCAGGTATGACCAGATTTACATAAGTACAAAACATGAAAATATATGCATAAGGAACTGTATCTGAATGTGTCTCTCACAAGGAGTCAGTGACTAGAAAACGTTTTGCATGAAATCATTTCTGGTTTCAAATGCTTCCAGAAAAGCTTTCTTAAGTGATTTAAAACCTCCTCCAACATAAGCCACCCTCGTCAGAAAATTTACTTTTGTGTTATTAACTCTTCTATTCTATCCACAGTACCTTTCAAAGTATCTGAATATAATTCTCCATAAAATATGTCCTTTGATTCTTGAAGATAATTGTAAAATGTTCCAGGATAAGTGACATGTTTTGTTAGCCATAATAGTTTACTTACCATCTTTTTCATTTTTCTTTTGATCTGCCTTCACGCTTTCTGTATTTATCTCAAGCTACTGAGTCTAGTATTGAGTACTAGTACTCTAGGAAGATCCCACAACAAAGTAAAAGCAATTGATTAAGGAAATATTTTATTTTTATATAGCATTTCATGACTTTAAAAAACCTTCCCGAGCATTAATATATCATTTGAGGTTGGTATGGCTTCATGTTACTCCTAAACTCTGATGGTTGATGTGGGTACATACCAAGTCAGGTTCAGACTGGGAAAGTCCAGAGCTCCAATTTGGGTCAGTTTGAAGACCATAGTGGTTCTGAGGTCATATCAAAAGTTCATATTTCTTTTTAATATCCCTCGAACCAGAAGCAGTGTTAAGTACAGGACAAGTCCCAAGGGCTCCTTATGATGTAGACCTATGCTTCCTCATAGAACTTTCTGAGATGGTGGAATGTTCTATTCTGCATCTTCCAGTGTGGCAACTGACAGCCACATTTTGCACTTACCAGAAATATGGTAAGTGCAAGGGAAAAACTACTTTTCCTTTTATTTAACTTTAAATATTCAAACTTAAATTAAATAATAATATATGTCTAGTATCACAGTCTTTGAACCATCATTAGATGGTTTAAAGGAAACTGAAGTGAAAAGCACTTCGTTAGGTCTTCTTTTGGATGAAATCAATGGGTAAGAAGCATCTTTGTGAAATTCTAGTGTTTTCTCACTATTTTTACTGAGAAATGCTGGCACAGTGTGACTAATTTACAAGTTTTTCTTCAGAAATAGGCTAATAGGTACTTAGCTCTTTCCTTTGGCTAGTAAGTATCTTCTCAAGTACATTTACATGGGCATAACAACAAAACCATGGGGAACTTAAATTATGACTAAGCATGCTTTGGCAAAGATGACTCGTATTAAGGGGCTGAGTTCTAACAATCCTTACCTACACCCATACTGCTAAAACATAACAGTAGTATTTCAGTTATGCATGGTACACTTATTGCATAAGAAGGCTACATTAAATAATATACATAATAAGAAATTTGACTAGTTCTATTTAATTTCTGCAATATATTTTGGCCACATTTTTTTTTCCTTGCTGAGTTTAGTTTTTAAAGCATTTTAAAACCCAGAAGCAGTAAATGTTTTGGCAAGGATGAAAGTAAAGAATCACTCACCCTTCCAAGCTCAGATATATAAAACTCCCCAGACTGTAAAATATATACAGAGCTTTGTCCTCATAAGCTTTCTTTCTCCTTACAGGCATTTGATAATAAAAATCAAATATAGTTTTTTCCTCCCAAAAGTAAGGTAGCTTTATGTTCACTTATAAATGTACATTTTTTTTTTGTCTTTCTCATTTTTATCGGTACCAGGGATCGAACTCACGACCGCCTGCTTGCAAGGCAGGTGCTTATGCCGCTGAGCTAAATCCCCAGCCCTATAAATGTATATTTTTTATTGCATTATAACTTTCTTCCTCTAAGTTTTTCTTTTTTACAGTTCGGTTTCTTTCTCTGAAGTGACCTTAAATTGCCAGCATTCCTGGCCTTGTTCAATTTTAGTTGAGAAAATAGAAGCTGCAAGAAAAGCGCTTCTCTCCTTCTAACAAAATTCACTAAAATACATGCATTTATACAGAACATTCACTAAACTACTTGCATTATACCAGATATTCCCTCTCTGTATGAAAATGAGATGTCATGCCATCCTGTGGTCAGGGATTAGCTCTCACACAAGAACTCCCTCTTCTTAGCCGCTTGGACTTGCTTCTGAAATCATTTCTTTTCATGATCCACTCACTTCTACTTCACATTAGATATGTACTTTAAAATTGCTTATATTCAAGCAACAGCAATCACAGTAAACTTTAATCCAACATCTCCAGCTGGGGGTTAGATGTGCTTTTTTCATAGCAAAGTACAGTACGAATTCTCCAAGCTCAGTGACTCCACTTTATCATCTCTGATTTTCAGTAAGTGTACATTTATATGTGATTTTTTTGCTGTAAAGAATATTATGAAATATATATTAAATATACATTTTTCTGTAAAGAATATTATTGAAATATGCATTGTCTATAGACACTTTTTCGAAAATAAATTGATACTTATGGAAAACTTGGAAGAATTGTACAAAAATCTCACATATATCTATGAAGCTATTTTTTAGTACTATTGATAGGAATATTTTCTGGCCTACTTACAGTACAATGATCAAAGTCAGTGTAATTATCAAAAATAAGATAGACATAATACTGTTATTTAATCTAAAAATCTATAAGGTTTTATTAATTTTCATAATAATGTCCTTTATGGTAAAATAACAACAACACATATTTTCTGGCCTCTGATCTAGTTCAGAATCATGGTAGTCATACTTTTATGTGATCATCTGTTTGGAGGTTTGGACGAGACTATTTGTTTTAAATCAATGGAATATGGCAAAGGTAAAGCAATGTTTCTTTCATAATTAAGTTACATAAAATAGTACTATTTATATTACTAGAAGATTTTTCCTTTGTTAGCTCTGATGAAACGAGTTGCTACATTACAAAGACCCATGTCAGGACAAAGGTGACCTCCAGCCAGGTAGGAACACAGGCCCTGAGTCCAGCAGTTCTTGAGAACACACTGTGTCAACAGCTCTGTGAGCTTGAAATGAATCTTCTCCTCCTGAACCTTCAGACAAAACTTTAGCCTTGGCTGACACTGAGAACGGTCTTGTGAGGCCCTTGAACCAGACAAACTATTAACGCTTTGCTCTGAGCAGAGCTTGGTAGCACATGCCTGTAACCTCAGAATTCTGGAGGCTGAGGCAGGAGGATCTCTGTGAGTTTGAGGCTGGTTTGGCTACACAGTGAGTTCAAGATCAGCCTGAAATGCACAGTGAAACTGTGTTTTAAACACACACACACACACACACACACACACTCACACACACAGCATGCTGTGATTCCTAACCCTTAGAAAGTGAAATGTTATATTTATGGGAATTTGTTACACAGCAACAGGTAACAAATATATTGGTATCTTGGTTCATAAATTCAATCTTTCCATGATTCTGGTCACAAACCAAATTGGTCACAAACTGAATCAAATTTTTCCATAAAGTCAACATTGAACCTAACCATTGAATTTGATTTAGATCACGACCACTGTATCCTAATCTGTCCTGTCTTCCATAACCTATAAGAAAAAGTTTTGGGATCTTCCAATTTCTAATTCCGCTCATGTGTATGTGTGTGTTTGTGTGTGCGTGTGTGCGTGTGTGCGTGTGTGTGTGTGTGTGCTCTCTTGATCTGTGTTTTGTGTTCTATTGTAATTCATTAGAATCTTTCTATTCTAGTTTTCCCCAGATCTCAAGGTTGTAATTTCTGTAATTCTATTATTTCTCTTCCAGGATTTCTAACTTATTTTCATAGCTTCTTAATTCTCCTTTATAAGTATTTTTATTGTATGATTTCTTGTACATATTACCTACATAAAAGTACTTTAAATTGGAATATGATAAATAAAGGGTAACCTTTTACCTCGAATCCTCCTAAGCAGCCACCATTGTGTCAGAAGGGCTCGTCATTTCCCTGGGCCCCTGTTCCTCGCCTCTCCAGCCATTTAGAGCACAGCCTTGAAAACCTCAAAAACCTGGATCTCCTTAGCAACACAACAGTTTCTATTCCAGGT